TAAAATAAAATTAAGAATTAAAAAGTCATAAATAAGAGAATGTGTGTGAATGTGTAACTTTCCAGTACATGTTACTAATATTAACATTTTACTAATACTACCGGTTTCTATTGCTAAGGCATATTCGCTTGTTTACGGGATGGTGTCTTGTATTCGTCGTAATAAGCTTCAGGGCTCATTATGGTCAAGCAATTTTACTCTTCTTTTGCATGTATCTGGTACCTTTTTGGTAGCACCCTCTGTTGGGTACATATAACTAATGCATTTGTTCTACAGAACACTAACAGATTGTTTTGAATAAACAGTAAAAAAAAAAAACAATCCCAAAATGTATACATGAATTCTTTATTTTTTCATTTTCAAAATAAAGGTTTCGATTCAAGTAATTTGAGTCACACGGTAAGTTAATTTCTATGTTCTATGTCTTCCTTGTTGCTAAAATCATTGAGGGCGTAACCCCCTTTTCTACATGAAGAATTAATTAAACATCTTACACTGCGCCTTCGTTTACGGGCTCATCACTGGGTGTGACCAAGCTGCCGACGGGGAAAGACGCATAGCCATTCTCAAATGTGCATAAGTGAGGTGGTAGAATGATGGTAGAATTTGACCCCTGGGCTCTATCTACTACCCTGACTAATTATATTTGATTAAACATTTTTCTCATCCAGGACTGTAGTATCATTCAAAGGTCTGTTTGTGTGAAGGACACGCCTCTTGATGTACTGAATAAAGGGACCACAGACCAGTGTCCTCATTCCTGCTTCTCATCCCAGTGCTGAGAGGAAGATGACCCGCCTGCTGGTTCTGCTGTTGGCTTGTGGAGCTCTGCTTATCTCCACAGAGGCCCAGCAAGACTACAGTCTCCCTGATCTCTACAAGGAGGCCATTAAACTCGCAGTCAAAAATGCTCATCAAAGATCCAGTCGGCACATGAATTTCTATGCCATCCAGGGCCTTCCAAAGGTAACTACTGAGAAAATGTTTATAAAAGTGTGAAGCTTTCATCTGTAAGCTGAATTAATAAGTATGACATTAATTTGTTCCTTCTGTTTCCTTCTGAAACTGCTGCATCCTAGTCTGTGACAGTTTTGCATCCTTTGCTGATTATTGTTATTTCATATAGACTTTCATTAAAACAGTTGTAGGCAATTTTGTATATAACATGTTTTTATGTGATTTAGATCAGCAGTGAATATATTGACATCGAGATTCTCTTGAGAGCAACAAAATGTGCAAAGTCAGCTGTACCAGATCATCGGGATGACTGCATGTTTATGACCAACAGGGTAAGTAATGAGTCACTGGACTGTGAACAGTGGACATCAATTAACACATTCATTTTGGTTCATTTTTCGATGCCCTGTAGGAAATAGTTGGCCAGCAACAAACAAACAAATAAATAAATAGCTGGCCTCAAACATCCAGTTCCTTCATGTCATTCTCAAATTTTAGTAGAGCAAAGGCAAAACGCTGGATTATCAGGCAGAAGCAAACGCTAATCATCTGAGGGGCGACCTGAAGAGTATGCCTCAAGCTATGAACCCTTGCTGACCTTATTTATAGACCTGTGGGCTGTACTACACAGCGGGTTTTACATACCCAGAGTTAACTTTATAGGGCCAGGTTAACCAATTCTGATTGATGAAATCAGCATTAAATGGTGCTATGATGGTGGTAATTAACTCAGTAAGTTGACATGGGGTTTCATTATCATAGTCTGTGTGCATTTACATATAAGGGCCCACTCTGGCATTGCAAACTAGTGATGCAGACTGACATCTGCCCTTTGATAGGTGGCTCATAAAGGGGCACCGAATATCAGTATCAAGATAAAAAGTTGATATTACTTGGTATCGGATCGAAAGGAAAATCAGTGGTATTACCCATCCCTACTATTCAGTCAAAGGGGGCTCATATATAGGCTACGTTTGTGGTGAAAGGGCGGGACTTAACGCCTGTTTTAATCTGAAAGCCAGCAATTAAAGCTGATCAGAGCAGGTTAGGTGTGCAGTGTGAATTACCATTTAAATTTATCTAGTTTAAATAGTGAACTACAATTCATAGTACCTAAAACTCGGTGAGCCTCTAGAAACCTGGCTAATCCAGTAAACACGCTCCGTAGTACAGCAGTGTAATCAGGGTCACTAGCTTGATCGGAGGGCAGTATTTTAATACAGAGCAGTGTTCTGTTAAATTGGATTTGTTGTTAATACTTTTAGTTGTACTTGCTTTGTATGATATAGCCTTATGGTGTCCCTGCTTTGGAAGCTCTTTCCCCTAAAATTGTTTTGTTCGATTAAACCCTACAGTCCAGCAGCTTTGCCTTAAATCTTTAGATAAATCTTTACTACACATTCTTTCATTGTATTTGTTTCCCACCAATCTTTAAATGCTGTTTTTGTGTGTCTGTGCGTCTTTGCAGCCATTTATTAACTGCAGAGTTTGCAGCAAATGGTCTGGTAATGATCTTACGGATCAATCAATTGACTGTGCACCACAAAAGAGAGTGGATGAAGTAAGTGTAAATTAGATTTCAGAGACTTTGCATTATGGAAATGTAACAACATCACTTAACTGTGAAAAGTGTGCTCAGAATATTGTGTCAAACTTGAGTGTGTTCGTACATGTAAAATTTTATCAGTGTATTAATAATGATTATTTTTTTATTTACTGTGAATGTATGACTACAATCTATATATCACAGTCTGATTAAAGTGCTTAACTTTTCATCCTCATTTTGCATTTTAGGACAAAAGACAGACAATGTGTGGAAGAGGCATGGATAGAATGAATAACATAATGACTTAGAAAGCTGAAATTGACTGTCCAGGCTGTTACTGATAGCTGATGGTCCTGCAGTGTCCCAGGAGGAGGAAACTATGAGGGAAAATGCTTTGCTTTATTATTTGGCTGAATCAGGATTTAATACAATATTAATTTTTTTCCGATGCAATCCCAATTAACCAGATGAACTAATTAACACCATTTACAAATACATGTCATTTATACTTTTATCAACATAACAATTGTTGCAGTGTCCTGTCAGTAAAAAATGCAGTGCTTAAGGTCCCTCTGGCGGATAGTTGAGGTAATATCAGCGCTGTGCTCGAGTCCGGCCTTGGGTGTCCGAATTGTAGAGCGAGACACAAGACCGAGTTTTTTTTTCACCAAAGTGGTAAACTTTCTCATTTCTACTACTTCTCTCGAAATAATGACACACATTAATAAAATACAATTACTAACATGAAAATAAAATGAATCAATTATTCTCCTTCATTGTATTATAGCTGTATACTGATTTACATTCTTTTGAAATCACGGTCACATGGCGCGTTGCCAAATTGGTTTTATGCCGGTTTTTTTTGTTCGCTTTATTACATTATCAGCTTTACATGGATCAAGTTTCACTTATAGAAAATTAAACAGCAGACATACTCAGATATACCACAAATCATTTTCAATAATTTTTCAGTCTGGCTGGCTTGAAACATTACTCAGCCTATACAACTGAAGGGGAAAGAAGTTCTGTTCTGCGCAGAGCTGCCACTCATGTTTTATATTAAGGGATCCTCCCGTATAGAAAAATAAAATACTGATCCTTTCTGAACCACTACAGGACACGATCGATCCACCCCCAGCAATTTTTTTCATGTCGAGCAACAGGAAAGACGCGGGAGAAGGAATTGAAATGAACAAAATGGGGTTTTATTAACTAAGGATTGAACAGACACAAACAGGATTGTGGGGGATCCAAAACAATAAGGAAGGGCAAAGGGGAAACAGCACACAGGGGAGATAACATTAATGTCAGGAGAACACAGGACTGGGAAGTAGGCCTACTTTTATACATTTTTTTTTATGTTCACAGAAATGTGCTCAATAGAAGGATTATTTTCAGTGTATGTGGTAAATAAACAGTGCAATAAATGAGGTAAGGCGGTGTGATCACTCACATCTGCTGCTTCCGCAACTCCCTAAAAATGACATAAATCAGAAGTTAACAGGTGGTATAGTAACTCAAGGGACAGAAACAAGAGGGTCATTAGTTAGTAAACAATGCAACAAGTAATGTAAGGTGGCGCAAACTGTATTCAAACAAAGCAAACCCAAAGTGCACTGTCCTGTCCCCCCCTGTGTTCTAAGTCCACCATTACTGGAATAAATCGCGCTTCACTACAGCTCCACAAGTTTGTGGCTTCGTTTTTTTCTCATACTCTTTCTCAAGCTGCATATCAAAACCTTTTCATTCATAAGTTACTAATTCTGAATACTGTATTTAAGAGATTACTCTGCAAAAAAATCCTGTTTTAAAACCAAATGTACCTGAACCGTGCACCTCATTCTGGAAAAATGGAACCTCAAAATTTTAATGTAACTCATCAAAGGGAAAACAAAACATCAAAAATACCCAAATACCCTAAAATTTTATAACTGTGTTTTCATGGGCGTAAATTTCATTTAACAGTAGGGGGGACAATAAATATAAAATTTCTCATGAGCAATTTTTGAAGGGGACACAAATAATAAAATCAAATTGTACTTATAAAGATATGTCCCCACAATGAAAAACTATGCTTCTATCATTATTATTGTAGCATGGAGACTGCGTCATTATGGTTATTTTCAAAGTTTTTCTCAGGTTCAATGACAAAGCAGATTTTTCTTCAAAACTATTTATTGCATTATTTGTTATGTTGTTTACAGTAAAGCCATCAACATACAATAAAATTTAAACGACTGTTTAAATACATAATAGAAATTGATTATACAAAAAATACAGTGGGGTCAGTTCGGACGTAGCACAGTGTTCATTTACTAAATGTACAGCTAAACAATATGCTAATTGTGGCCGTTAATGTTAAGTTAACATTATGCCAAGTCGTCACAAATAAAACAATGCACGGGAAACGGTTTTGGCGTGTTAGTTGCAGTGCACTATGCAACAAGCTATTGTAAACAAGCTAACACTAACTAGATAAGTAATATTTTAATCGCTAATATAGCAGATTCATGGAAAATTACATCGGTAATCAGCATTTTTGCCGCAACTAATTTATGAATGAGTCTGCATCAACTACATTAAAGAGAATCGCTTAATTTAAAGTGAATAAAATACCCTACTTACTGCAGTTCAATATTAATTGAGCCGCAGCCACACACCTGATTCGTGTGTGTAGAGTAGGTGAGATGGACTGGGAAAGCAGGCAGTTGGCTAAACCACTGTGAGTAAGGGGAGGGGGAACTGTTTCTAAATAAATTTTTTGCGTTTGTTTTTTTTTCTACTTACAGAACGAATTATTGTAGGTATACATACATATATTTTTCACAATAGATAGTGCGATTATTATTTTTTTAATAATTTTTTTTGGGGGGACAACCCTCGGATAGGGGGGGACATGTCCCCTCCGTCCCCCCCGGGATTTACGCCCATGTGTGTTTTATTAATTGTATAGTTCATATTGTTTTCTTTATCGGCATCTTAGTTCACCCATCCATCCATCCATCTTCCAGTTGCTTACCTTGGTCAGAGTCATGGCGAGGCCTGGAAACTGGGCACGAGGCAGGGGTACCCTCTGGATGGGACCCGGGTCCTTCACAGAGCACAAGGCTGTACTTGTAATTACAGTAGATTATACATTTTTCGAAAATGTTTAATGATCATATTAGTAACTATAATAAATCTGAATGTTTTGAACTTATAATTAACACATTAGTCAGCTGTGTATTTCATTGTCAGATTTTCCTGTTTACGTATTTGTACAGAAAGGTAATACATCATATTTGGGAAAGAGAATTATGAATTTGTCATTCAATTAAAAGCATTTAATATCGTTTTAATTGCCTTGTATATTACCGTTCTCATTTCATTGCATAATATGCCAGACCACACTAATTTACATTTGTACTTAACACAACGCTAGTATTTATAATGCTAGGTTGACTGCCACAGTAACTGTTGTCATATTTATCATGATGTAGGTTACTACTGCTGTTAGTTTCTGTACCTGTTATCATTAATTTAACTTGTATAAATTTTAACTTGAAGTGTTTATAGTTGTAGAATATAATTGTGATTGAGTGGCATATAAAAAAAATCAAGTGGACGACATCATTACATCATTAGAGGGCTGCAGGGAAATAGGAAAACCTTAATACTGCGGATATGGTAATACCGCGGTTATAGCAGTGAAATTGCTCGTATATGCATATAATTATATCTGCTATGTCAATTAAAAGTCATTTTGTTCTGTTGAATTATTTGTTCTCACCCCAACACCGCCTGATGGCAGTGTAGCCTAGGCTGTACGAGGCTACTGAAGAACAATTTGTTTGAATACACGAGAAAAGCACTGTTCTCGAAGTTTTTCAGTTATTTTTCAAATTTTAATGTTTGGATAACATGGTCTGAATAACACAAAATAAGAGTTTGGAGTAAAGTGCCAAGTAAGTTATTTTAATAAGTAGGATATTTGGTGTGTAGGTGAACGCGGGGACGGGGTGGGGACAGTTTTCGTGCACGCGAGCTCCCACGCCTTGTGTCCTCCTCGGGCCCGGGGACAAAAACATCTCCACCCCCCGCCCAAATGATTTTCAGGGCGTGATACTCACGCTTTCAGACTCTTACGCTCACGCAAGAAATCTTACGGCAAATCTATGTTATTATTCAATTATAAACCTAAAATTAGCTAAGTCAAAAGTACTGGGGTAGTTTGCAAACTATGCAGATTATGTACAAGGTAATAAAACTGTTACATATATGTAACTGCGTGTACAGACTTATCTCGAATTGAAAATCTCACGCCAGCCAACTGATCAAAGTTGCCAAGATTGATTTATTGAATATTGTTACAAAATACCCTCCATACAATATACTTGTTCGGGTTCTCGAGCGATCATCTGATTGGAAAACTCCCGTGTCCCACGCACCAGGGAAATTACATCGCCCCCCGCTCGGCGCCCCTTATAGCCTATCTTCAGATTCATTGTCGCCAACTTCGGTCAGATGGCTGGCGTGAGATTTTCAGTTCGAGGCTAGTCTGCACACACGTTTACCTCTATGTAACAGTTTTATTACCTTGTAAATAGTTTGTAGGATTTGCAAACTACCCCAAGATTTTTGATGTAGCTAATTTTATGTTTATAATGGAATAATATATATTTGCTGTAAGTAAAGTGTTAAGGTTGGCAACCCTGCGGATTCGGAGTGGCAACCCTATAAATTCATACGGCCGAATCCTGAGTTTCGGTGTCAAATTTCCGGGCTCTGCCCATATTGCATTTATTCTACGCAATTCCAGCCTCAGCCTATAATTAATTTTTTCCGCGCAACTCGACATTTACACAAAGACAGGTGAACCTACTGGACCAGGAGAATTCCCTAACTGGTAACCATTTTACGCTTGATGGTGTAGATGTGTGCGTTTCACTGACAGTCGGTATGATGTGATTTGGAATAATAAGCCTGTGCTGTAACAGCGCAGGGATATCCAACATTTTTACAGTGTGAGCTACTTCTACAAGGAAAATAATGCGGCAACGCGGAGCAGGGGGTGGCGACAGTAAAATGAATCCGGTTTCTGTTAAGTTTTATTTGGGCTACGCGTTCGCACCTTCCGGGCCCCGAGTAGCAGGCGGTTGACGCCGATTATGCAGCTGATTGTCATTCTTTTATCAACAACGCATCCTAAATTTCCATGTTTCAAGTTCAAATTTCAATTAATTTGTCAAATGTAGACCTATGTTATATAACACTGTGTTAACATATACCAGTAAAATGTTACATTACGATAAACAGGAAAACAAGTCTGTCAACATTGGAGGATAAGATGAAATAAAATAAAATTAAGAATTAAAAAGTCATAAATAAGAGAATGTGTGTGAATGTGTAACTTTGCAGTAGGCCTACATGTTACTAATATTAACATTTTACTAATACTACCGGTTTCTATTGATAAGGCGTATTCGCTTGTTGTCTTGTATTCGTCGTAATAAGCTTCAGGGCTCATTATGGTCAAGCAATTTTACTCTTGTTTTGCATGTATCTGGTGCCTTTTTGGTAGCACCCGCTGTTGGGTACATATAACTAACGCATTTGTTCTACAGAACACAAACAGATTGTTTTGAATAAACAGTAAAACAAAAATAAATGTTTCGATTCAAGTAATTTGAGTTACACGGTAAATTAATGTCTATGTTCTATGTCCTCCTTGTTGCTAAAATCATTGAGGGCGTAACCCCCTTTTCTACATGAAGAATTAATTAGACGTCTTACACTGCGCCTTCTTTTACGGGTTCATCACTGGGTGTGACCAAGCTGCCGAAGGGGAAAGACGCATAGCCATTCTCAAATGTGCGTAACATACTGGCCCGACTAATTATTTATATTTGATTAAACATTTTTCTTATCCAGGACTGTAGTATCATTCAGAGGTCTGTTTGTTTAGTGTGAAGGAGACGCCCCTGGACGTGCTGAATAAGGGGACCACAGACCAGTGTCCACAGTCCTGCTTCTCCTCCAGCGCTGAGAGGAAGATGACCCGCCTGCTGGTTCTGGTGCTGGCTTGTGGAGCTCTGCTTATCTCCACAGAGGCCCAGGAAGACTACCACACGCTGTCCGATTTAGTCAAGAGTGGTGTCAGACTGGCAATTATAGCTGCTAATGAAAACAGCAATTACCATATGAATTTTTTTTCTGTTCCATTAAATAAAAAGGTAAGAATGAAGTAAAAGTGAATTACTTTTCAGCCTGTGATGGTTTTGTGATTGTGCTGATTAACAGTTTGCAGGTAATTTTCTCTGTTTTACCAATGTTCGTATGGCTATACTGTATATGCAGATGAATACAGATTCTGGATAAATTGTGATCGTTGTAGTTCACTGTTTCGCCTTATGCATCTTCCTGGTTAGAGCCGTCCTAAGCAGAGGAACCACAGTTGAACAGGGATGGGAATACAGATGTGTATTTGTGCATGTTATGTGCACAATAAACATAACACTTCACATTGTGTTGTTTAGGTTGTAACAGACTTCATTACCCTGAGGATTTTTTTAAAACCTACAACCTGTGCAAAATCCAATGTGGTAGCCCATCGGGATGAATGTCCATTTGACAACAGCAAGGTCAGTCAACCTGGACTAGTGGGTGAGATCGGCGGTCGCATAATAAACTAACGTACATATCTAAATTAGTCACCTTTAACCGGTTAAGGTTTTCTGATTTATTTTGTCAGTAGTATATTAATTTTTCTTCTTCTGTGAATCAAATTTGCCTTTGACTCTCTTCTTCCATTTAACTTCCTGCAAGATCAATGTTTCTCAACCTTTCTAACCATGTGGCCCACCCATATACAGTGGACCCTTGACTTACAAACTGAATTCATTCGCGATGGCTGATTGTAACTCAAGTTAATCGTAAGTCAAGACTAGTTTTCCCATAAGAAATAATGGAAATACCCATAATGCATTCCGAACCTCCCAAAGTACCCATTACCTAACCTTTTCATAATAAAAAAGGGCTGTATAATGTGCGTAATTTACCAGAAACACCAATATATTTCCTAGTGTACTCACCAAAAAGTCATAAAATGTGCCTAACCTACCAGAAACAACAATTTCATACTGTACTCACCACTCAAGTTGACATCTTTGGCTTGCAGGAAGGGAGGAGGGGGAGGATGAAATGGAAGGTGGAATGGAAGATTTCGACATGCTTTACATATTAGCGAGATCGGTCACACGAACCCCACTCTCATATTTCTGCACAATATCCTTCTTTTCTATTGTGATTGCTTTCTTTACCTTCTCTTCTTTGCTTAGCTTCTTTTCTAACTTTTTTGGGGCCATTTTGATAGCGGTTAGCAAAATTAATTATATAAAGCACTGCACTGACCGAAATTACGTCCACAAACACGCGTATCTGGGCTTAGACTGACGCTAACGAATGCCTCTCGGGCATCACGGCTCTTTGTTTACAACCGCACAAGCGGATACACGTTTTTGACCTCGATCTGCATTTGGGTCGTAACTCAAGACTTTGTTCATAAGTCAAAACTAAAATTTTGGTCGTAACCCAAGTTGTTCGTATGTCAGGCTGGTCGTAACTCCAGGGTCCACTGTATTTATATACATAATATATATTTTTATATGCTATGTTTTTCCCACATAATTGACATTTTGTTTGTATTTCGAGCCACCAGTTTTGCTTCAGATTCCCTTAGCATTGCCCCTAAATACATTTATAACATTCAAAAAAGTGGGAGCATGAATGGACAAGAAGCTGAAATCTAATTTAACCATAAAAAAATCAACTGTTGCCTGTATGATCTTAAACTACAAAAATGGCTGCTGCAACACATGTCTTTTTACCTTGTTAATCCACAAAATAAAAGCTGTTGTGGCTGCTGACCTGTTGCCTTCTTCACTGACAATTGAAGCTTCTTCAGACGGAGCGTTTATTTCATCCATGTTACCAAGACAATAACATGCGTGCTTTGCTAATTCCGCCAGCCTTGCCGTACGTAGGTTGATTGGCTTGAATTGCTTTACTTTCTGTGATGTGGTAGGCTTATGTGTGTAACCAAATGTTGCTCCTTATTGACAGTTTATTAAAGTTTCTCATTTTAATTCTCATTCAAATTTTATATGATGATAAGTCGATATGCCATTCATATCGCCCAGACCTATCTCATCGCTAAATTTCGCCGACCTGAGAATTGGTAATTTGGTTCACGTTAGTGCGGCAGCGCATCACAAACCGAACCACGTTTCCTTCCCACTGTTACATGACCCACTTACAGACCGCTCGCTTAAGAAACCCTGTGCTAGATTATCCTTGTTTCATCCCTTAATCACTAGCACTTATTTCCAAAAATACTAAACAGTGTTCAATGTTTACACATCCTTAAAAATCTTTATGTGATTGATCTGTTTTGACAGCCATACATTAACTGTGTAGTCTGCAGCAAGTTCACTGACGTTACCTTCAATGAACCATTTGTTGACTGCAAGACAAATGAGCTGGTTGATCAGGTAACTAGAGTTTTCTTGTTCCTGAATAATACTGCACATTAAAGTGTTTCAGTTTTTTACACATTGTGAATGTGCTCATGTGTGCGTCAGCCTCTGCAGTGTATATTTGTCCCGAGTACTGATGAATATGCAGATATTCATGATGATATAATTAATCCCATATTCTCTGTGCATGTTGTTTCTGTAGGCCCATCAGAATTACAGAAAGAAGCACTGTCGTGTTTATCTGCCTGGAGGTACTAATATACATACGGTGAGCTATTAATTTTTAAGGGATAATCCTTCTATTTCCACAGTCTTAGCTTGTGACTTTTCTGTAAGTACTAGGGATATAACGATACCAAAAACTTACGGTACGATAATATCGCGATAAAAGGTTCATTTATGAAATTTATAAAGAAAAAAACTCTTAATAATTAATAATCACCATGTTTATTTATATCATATTAGTTCTTCCTTTTAACATAAAGTGCATCTGCTTTTCTTTATTAGTGAAATATCCAGCTATGACCTTAAGCCTTTGCCAGAACTTGGCAGTACTTGTCCTTTGCAATGAATGACTGAACAATGCATGTAATTATAAAATAAAAACAAGCAGTCAGTAGTTCCTTTATAAAATATTAATTATTACTGCAGCAGCTGGATCTTTTAATCAAAACACAATCTGCAATTCCGAAGTAGTGTTTTCTGCCATTTTCCCGCCAGGTCCGTTTTTACCGCGTGAAATATAGGCCACGGCCATACATTCTAACACTAAATAATGCATGAAAACAGTGCATGTGTAACACTTATGAACCTGTTTTGGGTCCACTTAGGCTACGTTCACACTGCAGGGCTTAATGCTCAATTCTGATTTCTTGCTCCGATCGGATTTTTTGTTTGCCTGTTCACATTACTCTTTTTAATGTGGGCAATATCAGATTTCAATGTGAACGGTTCACTATACTGAACTGTCCCACGTGCGCACAAAACAACAAAGACTCAATGACGTGCACGCGCAAAAACAAAGACGTCACTTTATTGATTCGAAAACTGCCCGGTTACAATATGAGTCTTCCAGTTTTGCCTGAACAGATTTATCTCCCCAAATAGGGGAGCAGCGTGTGGCTCAGTGGGCTAAGCCTGTGTGCTTGTAATCAAAAGGTCACAGCTTCAAACCCAGCTTCAGCACATCTGCAGGTCCTTGAGCAAGGCCCTTAACCCCCAGCCCCTTGGGCACCCAAACAGGTGGCTGCCCTTCACAGACAACTTGCTCTACAAAGAGCAAGTTGAGGGAGGCATAAAGACATCTCCCCATGGGAATCAATAAAGTATCTATTATTGATTATTATAGTTTTTAAATCCAGCACCTCACTGTCCCTCCACTGGCCAGCTTCTGTGCTCTCCTCCATGTTTAGCACTCTGACGGAGACATATGGTGACTTCCACCTGCGCAGAATTGTGACGAACGTCAATCAAGAGTAACGTAAAACTCGCATGAATTCTGATTTTGCTGTTCAGACTGAGGTCGCATTGCAAAATATGAGACCTGTATCCGATTTATGACCACATACTGAAGTGGCCCTAATTGGAATTGAAAATAATCGGATTCCATGTCTGTAAGTGCTGTTCACATTGTCATGAAAAAGTGCGATCTGAGTCACGTATGACCAGGGGCGCTGTAAAGGGGGGGTAAACGATGACGATTCTCGGGGCCCATGACTGAGAGGGGGCCCAGAGAAAAAAGTCTCAGCTGTGTTGGGGGCCCTGTCAAGATTCTTTTCATGGGGCCCAAAATCCTTAGCAGCGCCCCTGCATATGACTAAAAAAGTCGGATTTGGGCCACATTTGTCCTGCAGTGTGAACGTAGCCTTAGTAGTACTGTACTATTGGCCAGTTCTAGGTTTGATGGGAGTGGTGGGGGAAAAGATAATGACACCTCAAAGTTTAGAACAGCAACCGTTAGTAAATATTAATTGTAGAACATGAAGAATCGTGAATATATTTACATTTAAATGGAAAAAAGTAAAGCTACCTCTTTATAAAGTATGGATTTAAATATTGTTTGTTTTGGGTTCTGAGTCCAGTGGTTAAATCAGTCATTCCTAGTTAATCTTAAGTCTAAATCTAGTTATATCCTAGTTCAGTTTTGCTAATTTTTGACTGCGCACAGATCGTATAAAATAATTATATATCTATTTATAATCAGCTAAGTTCTTATTTAAATTCTCTATCCAGTATCTTTAGCACCTATTTATCTTTCCTTTAAATCAGTAACCTCCCCCCACACATCTCAAAATTCAACACGTATAGAGGGAAGAAACAGAATCACATCGTATGCCATTCAGTTCCCTCTACTCATCCTTCACTGTTGCTCCATGAGTCTAGCCGGCCACCATGCAATGAACTCCGTTCAGTGGGTCCCTGTTCGGCGAAGAACATGCAGGAATATCCGTTCCAAATTTTCGGAAGTGTCAATGTAACGCAGAAAAAAAAACAATTTATCGTGGTTTAAAACATTTCTTCCATTTTCCTTTAGTTAATTCAAAAAATTTTTTACACCGCATAAGCTGTAAAATCAAATTTAGCAAGTTTTCTTTTTATCGTATTCTAAATCCTATGGCAGCACTCACTGCAGCCAGCCTCAACCGCTTCTGCAAAAACCAACCCGTGCTCTCCACGTTACTTTGTGACATCACCTCACAATCTGCATACAGTCGTCATTTATAATAAGGCGTGGCCACGAGATAATTAAGTGGTGGTCACGAATTAACAACGTGTGGCCACGAGATTTCCGAATGCCTGGAAACACATGGACAACTTTGAGAGTGGATAAAAATAAGTATAATTTTATAAAGAAACTATAATTTTTAAATTGATAACATATAATTGTGAGAAGACACATGTTAACTTCCTAAAGGCGTTATGGAGAAGTGCATACAAATCTAACTCGTTCCCACGCTTTAAGTAAGATGTGGTCAACACTTAATTATCTCATGGCCATGCAATATATATTTTTTATGTCACCAGAGTGTCAGCTTCGGGATCCGGCGAACCAGAAATCAGGCGCGTGGCAGCCAGGAGTTCAGGTAACGGGGTTTATTTGGAGGCGGACGGACA